GATCATTACGGTCCTAGGGACTACAAAGGGTTAAAACAATAGGGTCATTTTAGTTGATTTAAAACTCTCTGCTATCTATATCGATAGTTGTTTGCTTTGATTGGTGGTTCATTTGCCGAATAATTAATACGAAATTTGTCAATGTTCGCACCATACCTTGGAATTTTAACCCTGTTGATTCATAACGGTGTAAGTTCTCCAGTTTACAGAGTGTATTCAATCTTTGCTAAATCAGAGAATATTTATTTATTTATCTCAAATGGCGTTTTGATAGTTATCATTAGCCCTTTAGCTGGCTTCGGGCTTCACAGAGAGGGACATCAAAGTGACAAAAGTCGAGAGAAGAGGGACAGAATTGTAGCGGATTGCTACCTTAGTAAAGCCTGACCGACTCAGAAATCTCTATGGCAGATTCTCCAACATCTAGCTAGACTCCCAGAATAAGCTAAGCTATAGCCCAGCTATAAGGGAAACAGTCGTGTAGCACGGAGCACGTATATTCAATACGTATATTGATAGCGAAGTGTCATGTTGGCTAAGCGATTAGTTATCAGATTACTCTAGCATAATTCGCATGAACATTAATAGCAGGATTTCTATTTGGTCATTGATGAAGTGTCCCACAGGATAATGATTCCCAGATTTAGTAAAGATTAAATACACTCTGTAAACTGGAGAACTTACACCGCTATGAATCAACGGGGTTAAAATTCCATGGCATAGTGCGAACATTTACAAATTTGGTATTAATATATATATACTCAATAACATTCTGCTCCTTCGGAATTTGATGACTGAGAAAAGAAAGGTAAAGAGATCTCATATCTTTCTAATTCTTCATATTTCCTGGGCCTTGATTTAATCATTCACACGACTTTTCGTGCCTATGCTTTTTAAACTAATTTCATTAACTCTACAAGGGACTATAATAAAGATCTTTTTCCATAGTGTTTCGTAAATTAACTTAATTCACTGTTTTTCTCAGCTTAGAGCTGGTGCTTGTCCCCTTACTTTCTACTTCTTCCCCTTTCCTTACTCATTTCTTTAATGCTATCCGCTACATATCGATATTTAATTGATTACTTCCCTCTTAACTTTTGCCTACACGGTATTTATTATTAAGACAGAATTCTTTAAACCCATCCTCCTTTAACTAGCGCTTGGGGACCACATGTTGACTCATATGGGAAGCAATTAAACTCACCTACCAAATTAAAACGTAATAAGGGGTGTGAATAATGATGTTTATCATTAGCCCCGCTTATCTCAACATTATGTTCCCCCCCCCTTAATATCTTAATATCGTTGCTGCTTTTGACCAACCTCTGGCGAATATAAAATCTCATTCACGGGGTGTGCAATAGATTTACCTCCACATGGTGCACCCTGGGCAACGTATACTAATACGGCAAAAAAGTCTTTTAACCTGGCAGTTGACTCCTCACTTCAAACTACCATCACCCAACTGTATGTCATATTCCACCACTTTCACAGTACTCACCTTACCTTATCTTTTTCCCTACCTTTGTGTCTGTCTGTCTCTTTTACATCTGTGAATCGCTCTTCTGTTCCCCACCCCTCGACTTTCTGTTACTTTGATGAATCTTCCCTCTGTGAAGCCCGAAGTCAAATAAATGGCTAATGATAGCTATCAAAACGCCTTTCATTTGAAATGAATAAATATCTCAATCATGAGGTTAAAAGCCAAATCATGAAACCGGAACCTCAAGGCGCTGGTTTTTTCGCTGCATATGGGAAACTGTGGAACTCAATGCTTCAAGATTCTCCATGCCATGCTTTCACTCCGCTCATCCATTCTGCTCCGCTTTCAGGTGAAACTTGGTTTTTTCTACTTTTGCACTATCAAGCAGGACAGAGTTGCCTCTTTCCTTCCTTCTGAGCTTAGAGGTGTTAGAGTGCCAAAAGAAAGAATGAAAGAACAATGATAATCAATAGTCATTTTGCTAGCAATTACGTAATTATAATAAACATAAGTACTTGACTTTTCAGCAAGAAATCCATGAAGCATAGTTGAGTTACCACAATCTCAATCCCGCTGGCTCAATACTGTCAAATTGCCCTCCATTCCGATTTCCAAATCGCCTCCCGTATTCTCCCTTCATGTCCAATTTCCCAATACGAATACGGTCTAGAAGTTTGGGATAAGTCTGTGTGACCCTTAACCACCGATTAAGTTATGTAATGGAATGCCCGATTCTAATATGGTTTGAATCTTTAAATACACTTCATTGAATGGGTTCCATTTCAATTAATTCTTCAGACAACGACTCGAATTTGAAAATAAAGCCCTCATAATGATCAAACAACCTCCCAAACACGAAATGCATATGAACAGTTGCACTTCCTTATTGGAAAGAAACAATACCGTGAGTTCCACGTTTAAGTAACTGCTGATGTGGTATGAGAAAATACTGTGTAATTTAAGCCATTACGGATAGAGATGTAAGTCGATTGCAATCGGCCCCATGACCTTTAAACAAATAGATATGTCACCCAGATTGAATTAAAAGATAAACTACTTGAAATATATGTAATCCATCATGCAACAAAGTAAAAAGTACATTAACCAACATAGGTTTGATAGCAAAATCTATATAAGTAGATTCACGTTAAGTCTGCTTAACAAAATAATGATCTTGAAACATACTGAAAAACCATTACCCGTTAATATTTATGCAAATAAAAATTTATAAATAAATGAAATAGAATCATCCCCTGATATTCGACATAGACGCACGAGATAAAGAAAACAAACCAAGATTAAAAGACTGATTAAAAACAATGACTATATATTACACCGAACTTTCAAAATAAAGCCCAATTTTAAACGAAAAAAATATGTACGGAAGATTGTTTATTAGTTGACATTGAATACGTAAAAAATGCAGTTATAGGAATAAATAAGAGTCAGTTTTCGCTGGTATGGGCACGTTGGAGAAGGTAATGGCCGAGAGCCTCGATAGGATTTGGCGGTCTAAAAGTATAGTAGATCATTCACTCAGGCTTACCTCTCTTTGGCAATGGCAGCCAATCCCTCCATGAGGACAGGCACGACGGTACGATCTAAATAAGGGCGTGTGTCCAGATATCTAAGATCATCCCTCGTAGGTTCATCACGCTTGTCAGAGTGGCTTCCAGTCATTCTGATAATACACAATTAAACAGTACGAAAATTCAAAACGCTGAAACAAATATTGACTAAACTTTCGATTTGACCACAGTCGTGTAACACAATAAAACAATTATAAGAAAATATAATATTAAAATTTAAATAAAATATTATAAATTTTGGAGATATTTATAAAATCTATGAATCTTATTGGGAGAAACAATGGAATATATTCCCCGCACTTTTTAAAACACTATTAGAGGATTGTCTGTCTGGATGCTTATGACAATATGACGGATAAGGCTAAAAAACTTTTCGAAAAGGGTATTTAGCTTCGTTTATTTTATTATTTTTTAGACGAGAAAGTGCTATGCTTCCATGGGTCGCTTATGTACAACGCCAAGGTGATGGATGTTAAATTCGAAGACGATGAGTACCTATATTTCATCCATTACACTGGCTGGAATAAAACGTAAACTTCTTTTTTAAGTATTTATTGTTTTACAGCTGGGATGAATGGGTTAAAGATTCCCGCATTTATAAAGATGATGAAGCGGGTAATAAATTTAAAGCTGAAGTCGAAAAATTGGTGTAAGTTAGTTGATTTGTTTTTTAGCTGCCAAATTTCTTCATCTTTAGTAAATCTCGCAAAAATCAAAAGGTCCTTCGGAAGTCGGATTTGAAGAAGAATCCTGAGCCACCCATGGAGATAATTGAACAGTTAGGACTATCTCAGGATATTTTAAGCGGTAGGCTTATCATTTTTTCGTCCTTGGCACATTTAACTCTCATTTTTTCCCATAAAAATATCTTATTTCGTCACTTTTTTTATAAGAGACAATATTAAATCGACTTGATCACCTACGTATTAGAGGTAGCGATTAAGTGCTATTTGCTGGTTCTTTATATGGGGCTTTAGCAACTATTTCCAGCTATTATTTTTTGGTCTATTTTTTTCTCATATGCATATGCTTTTTCCTCTCAGGCAACGAAAGCTTAAAATCTGAAGAGCATGATCGACAGGAACTGCAGGAGGATAGAGTTTCTGTGAACGAGCCTCCTTTTAAACCAGATGAAGAAGCTGTTGCACCGCCTAAGTCCGTAAAATCATCTACTAAGCGTCGAAATAGATCTACTGCAAAGGCCGCCGGCGAAACGGTTAGTTATATTGACTTACTTCCAATTTCAATTGATCTTCGTTCGATTTGGAAAGATTATATTTTTTTACAGGATGAAGGTTTTCTCCAGCGATCTCAAATTAATGTCAAGTTGCCTGATTCCCTTAAAGCTTTTCTGGCCGATGATTGGGATCTTGTCACTAAGCAATCTCGTGTAAATTTTTTCCCTTTAACTTCACTACTAAAATTGATTTCAATAGATATCACATCGCGCATTAATTTTTTTGTAGATCGTAAACTTGCCATCAAGAAAGCCAGTCAAAACGGTGCTTGAGGAATATCTTGAGTATTCAAAATCAAAACCACTGCCAACTGATCACGACACCTATAAAATCACCCAAGAATATCGAGAGGAATTCGCTAAGGGAATTAAGACCAATTTTAATTGCATTGCGGGCTCACAGTTATTGTACAAATTCGAACGTCCTCAATATGGCCAATTAATGAGGAATCATGCTAACAAAGAGATGATCGAGCTGTACGGACCAGTGCATCTTCTCAGATTTTTATGTACGGAACTTATTTCAGCATAAGTTCTTTATTGTTTTCCTTCTAATATATTATTCTACTTGGATTATAGTGAAACTCAAGGATATTATTACATTTTTGAAGAATGACAAGACGTCCCTGGGCCTTATGGAAGCTCTTGCGGCGGATTTGGTTGAGTGAGTTCTCTTTTGCAATTACATTAATCATCTGTCACTGGGTTATTGTCCTTCTCTCCGCTTTTCAAGATACCTTGATAACAACCGCAATGAATACTTCTCCTTGGAAGACTATGTTGGTGTGACTCCGGACTACCTCAGAGAGGCTATGTGTTAAGTAGATGTATATGCTCACTATTTTAATGTATTTATTGTAAATGTTGCTATGTATTGTTATTTTAGTGATAGTAACGAACTTCAGTCTTCAAAGCGTGTCTTTATAATTTTAATGAGGCTATGGTGGCATTTTTAAGAACTAAACGCTTTTACTAATTAATAGATGGAAAATCCAAGGTTTTTCGGGTATTTATGGTAACGTTATTCTAAAAATTTCCATTTTGGTACCATTGAAGCTTTCGCTGTTTCAAGTTGGTTGCGCCTTTTCTCATTATTGACTGTTCATCCATAATATCCTGAATTATTTCTAATGTCGAAATAAGTATTTGTGAGTATTATACCCTGTTTTATTCCATCCATCTATCTCTCGTAAAATGGGTTGCCTAAGAGCATCCTCGAATCCATTGTGGATAACCAGTCGGAAGTCACTTCGTAATTATCAAAGGCCAATCAGGATAATACATCGGCGCTATCGACCATACAAGTTATGATTAGCACAGTGTATTTTCTACTTTTCGGCATTTGTCTGTAAAAATCTGTTGTTTTAAAGAATTTCATTAGATTTGAAATTCTTAAATTAATTCTGGAACAGTATCGCAAGGCACTACTATATTAAGATTGGTCGCTTTCTTACCTGCTAAATCCTGTTTCTTACCATTAACATACTGTTTCTACATTGTACCACTCGAAGCACTATCATGAGAAACCCTACTAATTACGAACGGGACACTTAGCTCTGTGCGCCTATGAAGATAGAAATGATGCTTTCAATAAATTGAACCACTATCTAAACCCTGTAACCTCAAACAATTCACATCTCAATCATGATAGTGGAAAGAAAGCATAGGAGTTATATCGTGTAATAGTTTTCGAAGTGAAATAGGCATGTTCTATTATTCGAAGAATATCAAAAAAACGTTCACTTGAGAACAACTAAGTCTATGACATGATTTAAGACACTCGTTCGAAGCCTACACGCACTGCAAAAGTGCAAATCAAGGGAAACCGTTTGCGCATAACTCAGTCGACCATCCAATAGGACTTTACCCTTGGGCCTCAGATTTTTATTGGCACGATTCGGGATTATGGCCACCAATAGAATCGACCTACTTAAGCGCGTATAAGGTCGCGACTTAATTAAGCATTGTAATGTTATTTCGCGTCCGACAATTTTAACTGATCGATTGATTGATCTACTGACAAGTTGATTATGGATTTTTCCATTAATCAGTTCACAGGAGACGTAAACGCCCCAGAATATAAAGTTTCGCCGTTAGCTCTTGTCAAGAGTGGTTACCAATATGCAGATACTGATATAAATTATGCTCATAATTCTCAAACTGTGGAGATATTTCGACAACTGCCAACTAACAAATATGCCAATATTATTTCCAGTTATCAACAGCCCGAAGGATTTTCCGGTTCAAACTTTCCATATTCTCAAATTAGTTCATCTATGGCAGGTTTGTCTGACGGAATGGCTCTTTTTACTTATGGCGAACCTATGCCCAATTCTCATTCAAACCAGGGCCTAACTATCGAGGATGAGCACAAGAGAGCTATTTGTCCTTCAAATCAAATGTCAACCAACACGAATGGCTATTATTGTGATGAATATATTGCAGCGAATGAACCGGTTTCTAAAAATGGTGAAAATTATCAATATGGAACTGTGCAAAATTTCACAAATTCTAATGAAGCGAACGAGATACTAAGAACTCAACCAGACGAAACATATTCCAATTGGGATAGTAGTATGGTTATGAATGCTCCATCAGAAGTCGCCACTGATGTATCAAGAATTTCATTAAATCAGTCTTATCAAGCACAGACAGAAAACGAAGGTTTATTGGACTGTTCTCATCATAGTTCTGTTTCAAAACCCGGGAATGAAATGGCAGTCGGTCAAAGTGGACCTCAAGAGCAAGTTTCAACAACTTCTGAAGTGTATTTGACACAATCAGTGCCCATCTCCCATGAACAACAGTGCGATTATCCTCCAAATTTAACCTGTGATCAACAAGCTGTAATCCCTACTATGGTGCCTTATCAGTATATCTCATCAGAATTTATGAGAGAACAAAATTCTTCATCCCAAAACTTCGCATTTTCTGGTCCGAATGAAAATTCTGAGGGACCCTACACTGGTGAAATGGCCGATCAACAAATTATAGCAATGAGTTCTAATGCGGGTGAAAATTCTCTTGAGAAATCGCAGTATTCATGTAAGCTATTTTTTCCCTCATTTTTACACACAAATGGCGATTTTTTGTTTAACGTTTAATTAAGTCTGACTCACTCCATTAGGTAGAAATTGATTCGATGCACCTGTGATTGTTTGAGAGCTGAGAACTATCGATTATTTTCTTCTCACGAATAATGTGGTTTAAGCAAATTTTGCACTGTAATTTAATCAAAGCGGCGCCTCGATTAAGTTTTCACGACAAATATCACTCCTCTAACGTTAAAGAGGGGTGGTCTTTGTGTGGATTGCGGTATGAATTTTGGGGGGTAATTAAGGTGGAGGGGAGGGGGGAGAGGGGGAGGAGCGCGGTTGCATTGTCCGGCATTCCCACAAGGTGCTTTTTTATGCAGTTGTAGATTCCGGCTCAATAGAACAACAGTGGAGTAATTTCCAATCGAGTTCTCAAGATGCCTTTGACTTAAAAGCAGAGGATGAATTGAATACACGAGAGCTTGCACAACGAGTGAGCGCCGAATTGAAGCGTTACAGCATCCCACAGGCGGTTTTTGCGCAAAGAGTACTATGTCGTAGCCAAGGCACCCTCTCTGATCTTCTCAGAAATCCTAAACCCTGGAGCAAGCTCAAATCTGGACGTGAAACTTTCCGTCGTATGTGGAAATGGCTTCAAGAGCCAGAATATCAAAGAATGTCAGCTCTCAGGCTGGCCGGAAAATACTTTCAGAATATCAGTAAGTATTGGTACATGATGACACGAAAAATTGTTTCACTTTAGGCAAACGAAAGGAAGAAATGATGCGTTGTATTGGACCGGATGAAATTCGAGGGGTTAAAAAACCCCGCCTTGTATTTACCGATATTCAACGTCGAACTCTCTATGCTATATTCAGAGAGACGAAACGACCCAGCAAAGAGATGCAGGTGAGTTTGTTGTCTAATTGCTTATTTTGTAAATAAGTAGTATTTGTGAATCTGGAAGTGTTAATTTTATTAATAGGCAACGATAGCGCACCAACTTGGTTTGGAAATTTCCACAGTGGCTAATTTCTTCATGAATGCTCGTCGACGCTCCGCTGATAAGTGGTTAGATTATGGGGAAAGCAAAACCTCATCTTTGTTAGACTCATCTTCCCCTCAATCTTCTGGTGATCCTTCTGAGAACCTCATGATTACGAACGATGATCCTGCATCAATGAATGCCTCATATGAACAAGCAGTTTATTCTGGATCTGATCAAACTGCTATCTGTGCAGCTGCTCCTATGATTTCCAACCAAGCTCCAAATCAAACATACGCGGCACAGTCTGGGTATCCATTTTCATCCACAGATACTTCAGTAATTCAACACTCGGAACCGAGAATATATCCCTATGCGAAATCTGAGGCCTTCGTTAACCAATATCCCTTCAGCCAATATCCATCCACCAATGAAGCATCTTACAGTCTCCAACAAACTCAACAACCGTCTGGTGCACTTTTTGATCTTCGACGTTTGGCTTCAGCGTCACAAATCGATCCGCATTTCCTTGCAACAGCGACGGAATTTAGTGCTTCTCATCAGTCACTTCGTGACCAAGCTCTCGAAATTTGCTCAAATATGGTTGCTGCAGCAGCAGTAGCTTCTGCGAATGTAAAATTTAATAACTCTTCTGGGGTTCCGGACAATCAAATTCTGAAACAAGAGTCAGAACCAGTTGGAGAAAGTGGAGACGAGTATTTAGCTCAAATATGAGCTTCATTTCCTCCTCAGTATTATACCCTTATTTCGAGTGCCTACTTATTATTATATATAAGTAATATGTTTTGAGTAGTAAAAGAAGCCAAATATTTTTCAAGTTCTCTCTTTGTCTATATTTTGTTAAAAATACCTATATAAATATTTTTGTTGAGCACATATGCATGTGAATTTAAAAAGCGTATGGTTTGTGTGTAAACGCATTTATTAATGATGAAACTTTTTGTCGCCTTAAAGTTGCTGGAATAAATAAATTTATTTCATTCATTTATCCCATGTTCAACTTTTTTTCGGTGAAAATTTTCGTAACTTAAGAGTTTGCACTCATTGCAAAGACGGGGGGAGGTTGAACAGTGCATTAAGCTTGCTTTCTGTGCGTAGAATCTCTCAGTTGTATATCGAAAATCGATATTTGAGGTTCACATACCGTGCTGAATTCTCATAATATATGAGACAGTAAGTTTAACGAGCTTAAAGCATGGTACTAGGATTTGATTTGGCTTTAATTTTTGGGCAAAAACTAAGTCAGATGAAATAAATGGAAAAACGGTGGATAGGAGTGGCGGAGAAGGGTAAATAGATCGTGCTTGTGATTGACGCCATAGTAGAGATCTTTAAGTTAATCATAGTGCTTTATTGGTCCACTTGATTGAAACGATCAGTGAATGCATTTGTCTATTTTTGAAGACCACAGGGATAATATAAACTTGCATCTCAAGATGATAGAAAAAATAGACAATCCAGGTGCATTATCTTGGTAGCAAACATAAGCCACCCGATCTTCAACATGATTTTTTTGCAGAAGGAAAATAAAGTGCTTAAAATTCGAAGTTGTGGAGTGCACATCGCATATCTGACTGAATAATGGAGGCTCATGTATACTCAAGCATTCTGGAAGATGCGACCGTGCATGCCGAGGTCATCTCAGCGAAACAGTGATTAATATTCGAATAAAGTTGCTTTCGGTGTGCATCTTCTGAAATTGATTCATGTGTTTCTATTTATTTTTTCGGACTACGTTTAATTTCTTTCATGGCAATGATCATTTTCCGTTTCAACACATCGTTGTCAGTGTTATATTTTGACAAATAATAGCCCAACCAAAAGGAGAGAACGAGGATAAAACAGTTGATCGCTAAAAAAGTAATTTATGCTCATCACATGTTTTCCATAAATATTTGAAGAGGTGATTTCAAATATAGAACTTGCGATAACTATTCTTATTATTTCAAATGGCAGGCTTTATGGTATTTATCATTAGCCCCTTAAATTTTGACTTCAGTTTTCCCCATGGGTGGGGGGGGGTATATATATATGGCAGTTAACTAATAGCAGTTCATTAGCTGTCTTCTGGCATCCCAGTATCTCTGGCTTTCCGCCCTTGTCTTTAGGGCTGGACACCGAATCAGGTGGGTTTTCTCCAGTTCCTTCTGTAGGTTACATAGGGGGCATGTGGGTTGACTGTATACTCCTAATCTGTGAAGGTGTTTTGTCAGGCAATCGTGTCCGGTACATAGTCTAAACTCAGCAACGGCTTCGATTCTTGGCCAGTTGGCTATGTCGGAGAGTGCCACTATCCACTGTTTCTCCTTTGTTCGAGCTTTAAGTTCGTTGCACCTTGAGGTCTCGAATTCTCTCCTGATTAAGGTCTTCATTGTGTGGAAAGACATCTGCCGGTCTATGCCTTGCAAAATTGTTGTCCACTTCTTAGCAAGTGCGTCAGCACGCTCATTGCCAATAATACCGCAATGTTCATGGTAGGACCACTGTTTTTTTCTCTCAGTAACTGATACAGTTTTTTACATTCGTATGTCTCGGCTGTTTTGGGGGTTCTCCGTTTCCAATTGAATTTATCGCTGACCGTGAGTCCGATAGAATTACTGCTTTGGTGAATTTCGTATTCAGACAGCACAATTGACCTAGTGCCATGTTAATGGCCTCTATTTCTCCTTCGAATGCGGATCTATTGCGTCCCTCTTCTGCGAAGAAAGAGAATAGTTCAGAGAAAACGTCTGCACCAACGTTTGCTTGGTTTTCTGTGCATGACCCATCAGTGTAGACTTGGAGCCATTGATCTGCAGGATAGTTTGCATTGATAGTCTCAAGGGCCTATAAGTGCCTTTGAACTGAGGAGGGGGTATTTGCTTTCCAGAAATGATCATGCAGTTGGGAGCAACATTGTACATCAGTGTCTGCTAATGCGTAGAGAGAGGCTTTTTGGTTTGTTATCGATTTGTTATGCTTTCTTCGGTTCTATGGCTTTCTGTATTAGACCAGATTACGTTTTTAGGTGTCTTGGCCTATTTTCGCAGGTGCTGAAGAATTTGTCCCTGGGAACGCGCAGTTGCTTCCCATACAGGATCAAAGCCTTCTCTTTGATAAAGGAACGTATTGTGGTGTTCCCTGTAACCAGGAACATTGCATCAAAGGGTGATGATTTTATCCCTGCAGTAAATAGTCGTAATGCCTGATTATGCGTCTTCTCGAATGGTTTGAGAATCCCCTCAGAGGCTGTAATGAGTGGCTCACAGTAATAAAGCATTATTGGCTGAACAAACATCTTGTAAGATGTGTTTGGAGTTGAGCGTGCACAGCCCCATATGATACCAGCAAGACGTATAGCACGGAACACCCATACCTTCTCCCTCTTCCGGCTTTCCATTGTTGTATATTGACTGTTTTCGGGCGTTTTCTTTCCTTTCAGGCACCCGCAAACGCTCTGGGGGGGGGGGGGGGGTTACGGGGGGC